TGTATTGGCGATGGTCTGCATGGGCGACATCTTCAAGTACTTCGGGCTGCCGCTGATGTCAACAGTTGCATTGTCTTTTCGTAGTCTCTAGTAGCTGTGTAGGAGCAGGCTGGGCGCTGAGCGCCAAGTGTGAGTGTGAAGGAACTGGACTCTTGTGTTGAGGGGAGAGAGTTTGCTCTCCATGAACATTGGTTTTCAGTGCTACRARCTTCCAYTGGTGTATTATTGGTGCAATGCTGCTCTCTGGACACAGTGTGACTATCTGGCTTTCAATGTGATGGTGTGAACTGGAATTGTCATCTCGCTGTTGCTTATTTTCCTTGCAAAAACAAAAAAAGGAAAGAAGTAAGGAAGGAAAGGTCCGCTTGTTCATCACCTCTTAAGTACAAGGCTAGCCACGTGGATGACAGGTTGAGCGCTGGCTGCCCCCATCCCCGTGTGTCACAAGGAACCACTTGCACGCAGCCAAAAGGCAAAGAGGTAAAGAAAAGGAGGAAACCAAACCTCACAGAGGCAAGAGAAAGAGAAAGGGATCCAGTCAAAGAAAGGACAAGGGAAGAGGAAGGCCTATCAGTCAAACAAAGCAAATGACACATCCCACAGATAAACCAATTGCCACTGTCACAACAAAGTTCAACATTTTTTTTCTTTTTTTCTAATTTTCTTTTTTCTTTTCCTCAGCAATTGTTCTTTTTTTCTTTTTTTTTTTCGTTTTTTTTTCCGTTTTTTCAGTTTTTCCCTTCTTCTTTCTTCACCTCCGTATCTGTTGGCAGTGTCGAAAGCTTTATCTGTCCTACAATTAGTGTTGCTCCTGACCTGCTTGATTCTATTGACCAGTCATGAAGAGAGCCCCACCCCGGAAGATAGGACAGGCACGCTGAGGATGACGTGGATGTTCACAAGGATACCCAAGGAAAGCTGCGCCAGCACAGCTTTCAGCAGGACGGCTAGCACGGACAGGACGTTCATCACAGTGCGGCATCATGCAGTCCCGATAGCGTCCTTGCACACAAAAGGGACAACGAATATCTGGGTGATAGGGATCTGTACAATGAGGAAATGTTGGACACCCTGTGGCACAGACGGCGGCGGCCGCAATAGATTGATAATGGTGATGGCATAGATGATGAATTCCACAGCCAAGGCGCACCGCGTCCCTGTCCCGACAGGTGTCACACGAGAGTTGGTCAATAATCCAGAATAAAGTATGATTCGGCAATGCACGCAAAAATTCATTTGAGTTGAAAATAGCCTGAATCATCGCCCCACCATCCCACAGTTCCAACTGGGCGGCTGCACGAACGAGTGCCATATAATGCCCTGGTCTGTGCAAAATGCAGGCAGAAATATGAAGATGGTCATTAAGGTCATCGCCTGGCGTAGCATGATGCATAAGAAGGTGGCGACCATGGAACGCTAACTGTAAGACATTTACCGTAAAGCCCCCTGAGGTAGTATAGTTACTGCCTTCAGGGGGTGGACCATTATGGTCATACAACAACTGATTTTCAACAGCGTCAAGCTGATAAGCAATCATAACAAAATGGAATGCAGTATAACATTGACGCTGATAAGCCTGTAGGCAGACATTTGTGGCTGTCAAGCCACAAGCATTTGATAGATCTGCCCGCAGATCCGAATCAGTCACCACTGGAAAGCCAGGTCTGATCTGGCGCGGTCGGCACGTGATTGACGAACGCCATCGACGTGGCAGAGCAGGCTGTCAGTAAGGCCAAGAGCCCGGCAGATTAGCATCAATAAGACGTCGAGAGGAAGGGGAACTGGGAGGAGGAGAGAATGGATGAACCTGCCAACGTCCCAATATGGATCTCAGCCGGCGTGCACGGTGTTGGCGAGGCAAAAACGAAAATGAGTTAGAAGAAGGGGAAGAAGAAGACAAACTAGAGGAGGCAGATGAAGAAGAAGAAGAAAAGGATGATGAAGAAGAACAAGAAGAATAAGAAGAAGGGGAAGAAGAAGAAGAAGGGGGAGATGACAAAGAAGAAGAGGATGCTGGCAAAGAGGAAGGGGAACGAAAGGGATGGGGAGAGGGAGAGAGGGGGAGGGGAACGGGAACGGGAACGGGAAGGAGGAGGAGGAGGAGGAGGAGGAGGAGGAGGAAGTGAAGAGGAAAGATGGACAAAAAGGGGGAGGGGGAGGGGGAGGGAGATGAGAAGATGGAAAAGAGGAAGGGGGAGGAGCAGGGGGAGAGGGAGAAGGAGAAGGGAAAGAAAGGGGAGGAGAGGGTGGAAGAGGATGATGCACGGACCAGCGAAGCATACGGCGAAACGATTGTGTAAGTCGAGTCCCATGCATAGGGTGTCGACGCTGGCGAGCACGAGTGTAAAAAGTCCATCCTCGGGCCAACGTCGAAGGAGCATGGCCACAGGAAAGCAAACGGCGGACAAGCATGGTTGCCGCAGTTCTGAAATCATGCCAATTGTCACAAATCTGCTCCAACCGCGTTAGCTGGCCGGTGAACACACCTGCAGGCTGATGAGATGGAATGTTTGACGTTCCACTAGGATATCGTATAACAAGAAAATCCCATGCAACAGTCCTATGAAACACGCTCAATCGGAGAGATCCGTCTGCTCGTGTCTGCAGTTTCGCGCCTAAAAAGGTGCACGAGCCATCAGCAGCAGTGGTCTACTTCCATTCAAGACCATAACAGGCTGGCGATGGTGGCAGACGACCAAAGGTAAGGATATCATCAATGAACCGATAAGTGAAAGCATATCGGCGAGCTGCAGAGGGATCCACGTTTATGTATGACACTCCAATTCCAGCTGTTCGCCTGTGGGAATTACGATGACCAGCGGCATTTCAGTATTAACTTGAGATACAGGGTATACACTTACTGGCCTAGCAGTAATCGGATAGATCTTACCACTGAGGGGGGAAGAAAAACGAGGAGAAGCCTCTGTATAGATGGTCAGCGATCTACGAACTAATAGCAGCTTTGCACACGCACAAGCACGCAAAACACACAAGAGGAAGAGAGAACGAAAGAGAGAGAGAGAGAGAGAGGAGAACAGAGACAAAGGAAGAGTGCAGCCTTTTCAATCTTCCTTATCCTCGTTTCTATTTTGCTTCTTTTTTCGTTTCTATGTTCCTATACATTGTCATAGAGAACTATCCGGTGAACCGTAGGCAGAAAGGGAGAAGAGGACAAGAAACGGGAGTGGGGCTGTGACAGACTGTGTTTCGCCAGAGTTCCACCCCGACTCATCAGGTGAGGCTGAATCCCCGATAGTCTATGTGAACGAGACAGTTCGCCTCAAGCCACGTGCCTGCCTGGAGTCAAGTGGGAAACAGTGCCTGCAATTATACGTGAACCTGGCAATCCGTTATACTCCATGGTTGGCTGCAACACTGTTGAGCCACTCGCTCACTCACTGACGACCCTCTGGGTCAGGCCCAACCCGGCGTTATGTCCGTTCTCAAAGTTTAACCAATACGCCGCCCATTTCTCTTACCATCAAATCCATGATCCATGCTTTCCGGATGCGAACATAGAACAAGAGGGGATTGCCAAAACTACCCGTGTGCTACACCTCGCGGTTGGCTGATAATACCAGCTCAGCGGCCCCGACTAAACCCTTGATCCTCACACATGTGAGCGGTCTATTTTGCCGACTTCTTCTCTGTCCGAGTGTGTTTGCTCGCAAAGCCTGCCTGTATGAAGGAATCTTAATACTCTGACGATTACTCATGATTACTTTCTTTTGTACCTCTGGCCTGTCACTTCCTATGCGTGTGCATCTTTGCGCAGGGGACATGCTAATTACTTCTTCCTTTTTTTTCCCCCAAAAAACAGAACCTTCCTGCCTGTACAAGTGAATCTTGTGATTACCTTCTTGTCTCTCTGGCCTGTCACTTCCTCGATTTATGCGTGTGCATCCTTGCGAAGGGGCCATGCTAATTACTTTTTTTCTTTCTTTTCACCAAAACAGAGCCTCGCGGCTCTGGCTCCGTTCCATTCTGGGGAGCATCAGTCCGGTTACTATTCCACCGGCAAGTCAGCAAAGATTACAAATAGATATTACTCACGCACGCTCCTCCCCATTACGGTTGAGAGCCCCGAGTAAGAGTAGAGTAGAGTAATTAGCATGGCTGAGCAAGATCTGACGGCATTGATTGCTTCCCGAGGGAAGGATGTACCACCCCTCCCCATTACGGTTGAGAGCCCCGAGTAGAGTAGAGTAATTACCATGGCTGAGCAAGATCTGACGGCAATGATTGCTTCCCGACGGAAGGATGTACCACCCCTCACCCCTGCCTAAGTTAGCCTACAAGACTTACTTTTGAGATCGATTGCTAGTCTGACTTCTACTACATCTGTTTGTTATTTGTGCCTTACCTATGAGGGCCCTAGCTCCCACTTGGCCGTCCGATTTATCTTCTTAAGTACTGGAGCTACTCGCTTGGCAACTTACTGTCAATCTTGCGAAGCCATGCTAAGTACTCTACTGTACTCTACTCTGTGTAGTTGCAATTTCATGGATATCCCCAAGGACTTGCCTCTGACTTCTGCCAAGCCCATATGAGTCAATCTAAGCCCATATGAGTCAATCTACCGCTGTGGGTCGTCCGCAATTATCCAAAACAGGACAGTAGTCGTTTCAAGTAAGTTTGCCCAAGGTCAATTCATCACGGCAGTTGATGGGCCTGACAGGTTCTCTCTCTATGACACAGACCGAGCTATGCAAAAAATAGGGCTCGGGCTCGAGCCCATAGTCATACGCAATGCTGGCAAAAAAAGAAAGAAAAAAAAAGATACTCCATGTTGGCTAACTGGGATTCATCTATGCAAAAAATAGGGCTCGGGCTCGAGCCCATAGTCATACACTATGATGCCAAAAAAAGAAAGAAAAAAAAGATACTCCATGCTGGCTTCACTGGTATTCATCGCACAAGTTCTCTTTATATCTTACTAAAAAAAAGAACGGCATGCGCAGCGAGATTTAGGATTTGGATCACAGAGAATGGCAACTCACCATATTAGGACTGGGGCGAGACGATCCACACAGCTCCTCATTTGCCTTCCGCTTGCCAGACATCTTTACTGTTCAGCTTCAAAACACTTGAGCTGCAGTCTCAGTTCAACCAAACCCTACCCGCTTACCACCCCCAGCACACACACAAGCCCACTCCGTCCCCC